GGGGCAAAGGCAGGCCCAATCCAGAAAAGCTGGGGGGTGGGGAAACTTAAGAATCATAGTTGTGAAAACGTGACACAACTGGAATCTAGCTCTGCGGTTAGGCTTCTTGGGAGGATGATTTCTTCCTCTTCTTTAGTAAGGGATGCATTTTACCGAGTTCAGAAACATTCTCATAAAGTCACAGCCTGAACTGCCACCGTTGCTGAGTCTTGGTGAAACTAATTTGTACACCGCCACCCCACTGTAAAATTGGTTGCCATAAAAGGTCCAACTGAACTCCCACCTAAGTTAAAAGCATTTGGCCTTTGGTGGGTGTTGGGCTGGGACCCAACTGATTTTCAGATACATTAGCTAATAGCTTGATTGAAAGAAGTCATGTTGTGATGACCCTTATTTAGCATCCCAAAAAATCATCTCCCAAAAATAGACACTAGAAGAGGGAAGTTTAATCTCCAATTATGTACTACAGCTCCCAGGACTAACAGGACACGTAACTTGACTAATCCTTCACACTTTATTAAGAGAATTGGAATTTCCTGGTCGTCTCTGAGATGGTTAGAAAGGATCCACTTCCTGGAATGAACTTTTTATTTTTTAATAGCTTTCTGTGTATTAAAATACAAAGAAAAGGAAATGTTACTAAGTGCGCGCGCACACACACTCACTCTCTCTCTCCTGTCCCTAAAGAAATTAATCTCGTGTACAGTGTGGTGTGCTTTCATTCTATCTCTGGATTATAGTAGTACCATAATATGCTAAATACTAGTAAAAAAAATTATGGAGATGGCATTCCCACCCCAGAAGAACTTAGAAATATAATAGACAGCGGGCAGTGAGCAAGAGAAGACTTAAAATCAGTTCTATTTTGTTTTGTTTTTCAATAAATACCTGTTGTGTAATACCACTATGAGCTGGTTACTGTCTTGGCCTTAATCCAAAAGAGTTTGATTTTTCATACTTTCCAAAATTATTTCTGTTGGAATCCAAAAGATCTGTCTGGGAATATTAGGACTTGGCCTCATGGGAGTTGTGGTTTGGGCAGCTGAAGTCACCATTATTCCTGAAAGCCTGAGCTCTGTCAGTAAACTGCATGTATCCTGATGTAGGCAGTTCACGGGAATGCTTGGCTGTGTAGTCCAGCTGGATCGAGCCATTAGAGAACGGGATGGTGCAGCCAAAATACAGTTCCCCGGAAGCACTATGGCAGTATGCTGGGGATGGTTTCCATAAAATATACCTGCTTGTGTATGAGACAGCTTGCAATGAGCTCTGATCCAAAGGAATTGTTGAGCTAAGTGGTCCAGAGTCAGGATTTGGAAGAGGAGGGGAAAAATGTTTTGGACAAAATTGGTGAGGACCTGTCCATATGTAAGAGGAGGGGTAAGGGGAGTTGGAGAAGTGCCGCAAGGGGGGGAAATGAGGCTGGCGTGGAGGGAAATGCAGAAGAACATGGTCTGTTATATAGCAAAGGACAGACCTGTGAAGCGCCTAGATGATAAGGACAAGGAGCTTGTAATGATGGAAAATGGAGGCGGTATTCAAAGTTTTGAGGGAGCATACCAGTGGTGGTCTCAGTTTACCATGGTGGTATTCAGAGGTTTGGGGGAGCATACTTTTATTTTGACTGATGCTCACAGCTTTCTCACTCAGCAGCAGTTTTGTTTTGCTTGCTCTGGGTCTATGGCAAAGGCAGGGTGACTGATGGAGAGGCCTGGAGAACTAGGATTTGATTTGATTTTCCAGTTCCTGAGAGAGAGAAGGGGAAAAAAGAATATTGAATACCCCTTCCCCTTTTAAAACCAGACTGAAGCCGTGAAAAGAGAGCGGGCATCAGTGATTATTCATCTTGAAATACAACGTAGAAGACTGCATTTCCATTGCTGTATGTAGATTTGAAATTTTCACTGACGGCTACTTCTTTTTCCCTCCCTTCACATTTCAAGTTCCTCCATTTTAGGACTGTACAGCAAACCAGAAGCCACAAGAGCAGTGAAATCATAAGATGGTGGGAGAAAAAAAGTGCTCTGAAATGGCGTCTGGAAGCCTGGCTGAGTGCCCGGCACTGGAGGAATTTCTGGATCAATTTTTCATGTAGTGCTTCACTGCTGCCCTCTGCCAGATCTCTGAGAAAAAGCAGTTGCATGCTTTAGGGATGATGATTTACTCAGGGATCGACGGAGATGCCTTCATTAAGAGCTGGGGATATAGTGTTAGGCCCTGGAGAAAGGATTTTTTAAATTTTTACATGAACTCATAAGAACCCGCCTGCCCTCCCATTCTTTTGTCTGTGGTTAACTCCCTTCTATTAACATGTGAAAGTGTTACAAATTTTAATTTACTGTATCTCTTCAATGCATACTGTATGTAGAATGATGTGTATTTTTCTATATTATCTGTTAATCCTGCTTTTACTCTTTTTTTGGGTTTTTTTAATGTATCGAATTTTCTTGAACCAGCCAGACCTGTAATAAAAAGCCCAATGCTTCTATAATTTTATAGAAGGGGAAACATTAGAAAGGTCCCTTATGAGTCTACATTCTCTGCTTTTCTGTACTTTCCTGCAATTTATTAATTTAAACAAAAAATAAAAATAAAAATATTAATTATGAGAGCACGGAGTCACAGAACAGAACCTGATTTCACTAGACTTTGAATAAATGAAGGACAAAAAAGAGTTTATGGTCTCATGTTCTTTCATATTATTTCTCTTTCTGGTTTGGTGGTGTTGGTGCAGATAGTTTTACTAGGGTTACTAACTCCACCTTCAGTCCTTGTTTTGTGGTACCTGGTGTAACCAGTTTTCCTTCCTCTAGTGGGGTGGTACTTCTCCCATTTGATTTTTTTTGGAGGTGAGAGCCTGGAGAAATGGGAAGAAAAGCAACGTGGTGCATCTCTTTGAAAGAGACAGGCCGTGCAGTGCAAACCTTTGGTTGCCAAGAATTGTTGGGTTTTTAAAATAGTGTGGCCTCACCATTTTAATTTGGAGAACCCCCACAATGCAGTGATATAGGTGTGCATAAAACTCTTGGTATATCTGCGCTTAAAGGACCGTTCCTTTTTGCACATCGGAAAACTGGAAGCCTCTGAGTTTAGAAGCAGGTGAATTACTTCAGTGTGTGTGTTGTAATGGCAATTTACTTTTTTAAACCAAATATCCTGATTTAGACTGAAAAAGAAGAGACACTTATGTGCCCCTACCAAATAAATAAAATCCCAGGAGGGTTAACCATTTCAGCAGGAACTCAGTCAGCTAGATACTCATGTAGAAACCCCTTTCCGTTGTGTTTTTTTTTTTTTACTTGTTTGGAAAATTTACCACTAACGCGGCTAGTGCTGGCCCCTTTCTGACAACATACTAGCCTACTGGTCTCATGTCACGTGAACCTTACTCGCTGCCACATGGGAGATGAATGGCGTTCCCGGCCCAGTCTGTGGGTCACTATCCTCTCTAATTCAGCAGTGCAGCCTGTGGAGCCTCCCTGTCATGTGCGATGCTCCCTCTTGCTCTGAACAGATCGAGTCTTCTCAAGAGTGTGCTTCCTTGCTGCTTTAGCTGAGCAGAGGGAGGGACTGGGGCATGAAAGGAAGCCCGTCCCTTCCCTCTTGTACCAAACACACTTCCTCCACTGGGCAAGAATGGTACCCGCACAGGCGTGGCAGTGCGTTGTGTCGTTGTTAGTCTCCAGTGTGATTTGACACCTCCAGGGAGGCCTCTGAAAACAGACGGATTGCACGATGGATGCGATTCAGGTTTATTCAGCCATTGTTGAAACTAAAGAACTTAAGAGAAATACATTTTCATTTCTTCTGTCTTTACCATTAGTCACTCGGCATCTGAAGAAGCCTCTGGCTCCGACTCTGCAAGCCAGTCTGAAAGTGAGCAGGGCAGTGAGCAGGGCAGTGAGCATGGCAGTGATTCGAACAGCAGTTCGGAGTCCTCCGAGAGCCAGTCCGAGTCCGAAAGCGAGTCGACGGGCTCAAAATCCCAGCAGACCCCGCCTGAAGCCAAGGAAAAGCCAGCCTCCAAGAAGGAAAGGATAGCAGATGTGAAAAAGGTATCATCCCCATCATGTTTAAGGAGCTACGTATTGCCACGTGCTGTCAACCCCTCTGCTCAGAATGCAAGACACAAAGCGGCGTGCTAGCAAAACCGTGGTTGACTTTCTGTCTGCCAGCTTTCTAAACCCAAAACACCAGCCCTTTTTACAGTTAGCTTCCTTGAGTACCTTGTCAGTCAGGCACTGCCCGTGTGCACTGTGCCAGCCTGACAGCTTGAGATGTATGCTCTGGGAGAGGAATAATGACAGGATTGACTGACATGAAAGAAAGAGGCAGACATGAGAGGCTTTGCCAAGCCCCTGCTCACCTTCAGGATGGTAAAAGTAGTAATGTTTCATAGTGGAAAATGCCCAAAGATGAAAACCTGGAGCTAGTAGTCAAGGGCGCTGCATATTATCAGAGAGTTTTAGCTCCATCAGTTGTGTGCCTCAAAAAAGAAGTGGATTTTTTACTGCCTGATTCCTTTTGAGAAATGGTTCTCAACCTTTTTTTTTTTCTCCCTATGAGGGCCCTCCCTTCAAAATTTCTCTCCTATCTCACTGTGATCACTCTTCCACTTAACAGCATGGGAAAGGCAGGGAATTGCACTTGCTGATGTGTCTGCTCCCTGGCATTACATTTTCCAGGTCGAGAGCTTTCCCCTTGTACAGAAACAACTAAGACTGTAACAGAGTTATCTAGGTTACTATTTTTAAAGCAGTTATGTCTTTTTTTTTTTTGCAGCCTGGATAGTAAAAGCATGGTGGGGAGCGGGCTGAGAAAGATGAGGCTGGGTTTCTGTTTAGCAGTGGGAACCCAGGAAAGATAGCAAACTAACAAAAACACTCAGGTCAGATTAGGCAGTCTCTGTTTTCCTGGTGTGTGATTGTCATCATTTCCATTAGTGTTTGCAATTCTAGATTGCAAAGTCAAAACACAAGGGGTGTGGCCAGATGATCAAAAAATGCTGTTCAGTGGTGACTGCCTTGTGTGTCTGCTCTTCCCCCATGGTAAGTGGAAGCAAAAATCACTGTAAACTCAGCCCTCTTTCACTGAGAGGTAACTACCACTGTGTAGCTTTCACTTGTGGCAGGGTAAAAGCATGCACACCAGCCGTTCACTGCATGGGAACTGAAGTGTGATAATTCCCCACTCCCTCTTATCTCTCTGAACCGTTTGTTTGGCCATGACCAATATATCTGTGCAAGTCTCTTCTTGGAAAAAGCAACTTTGTTTGCCAGGCTTCAGGAAAGAACAGTGTTTAAAGCCTAAGATGTCTGCAGAGAGAGAAGGAGCATTCTGGTGGTGAACTACTGAAATTCAAACCCTTGTAAACCATTACGGTGCCAGCTTAAATCTTAGTGTTCAGGGGGGCAAGGAAGGGTGCATGTGTAAGGTGGTAACAGTAACAAAACTACACTTTCTGTTTTATTGTTGTTTAGTGGGGACCAAAGGAAGTTGTCCCTTCTTCCACTATGAGCTCTTGGCAGCATAAGGCTAGGAGGCAAACACAGAAACACATCCATGGCCAGGCTTCTATATAGCATGAACCAGGCAAGGTTGGAAAGTGAGCCTGCTGCCCCTGAAAGCCCAGATGCAAATGTGCTTAGGCCAGGCAGTTAAGTGTGGGTGTGCGGAGTCTATTAGTGCTTTGTGTCAAAGCCTTGTTTCATGTAGGTGGGGGAGGTTTGCTTTCTGCTTAGTTGTTTGTAGCTGTTACAAGCAGACAAATCCCTTAAAAACCCTGCGGTATAATGAATTACCACATCATGCATGTATATGACAGTGAGGTCCAAGGCCCCGCAATCGGCATTGCATCAAAAAGAAAAGGGAGTCATAGAACTTGCTCTGGGAGCATTACTATTTAAAAGGTGAAAAGGTAGTCTCTTTGAATGGACCTCTACGATTAACAAAAGAAATCTTTAGCCAGCTCTTTATTCCTAAGTATATTCAGTGGAATCTAATATCTTCTTGTGTCACATCATATCCCCATGTAGATGTACCAGCCAGTGCTGGTGGGGTGCAGCACATACCTGAATCCTAGCTACCATTTTTGCAGCAGTGTAAAAGTGCTGATCCACATCAGCAGGAGTGGATACAGTTCCTGGCTTTACTGCTCCCAATGTTTTTAGTTTCCTTTTCCTGCATATTGCTATAGAGATGAGTATCATTGAAAAGTGATAAAAATCAAATGGGAGAAGTAAGAGGTAACCAATACAGACTCATGCAGGAACATCTAAGTAGCTTGTTTCACTGATCTTGGTGTCCCACGTCCCCAACACAGCCATGCAAACATCTCCTTCCAGGCCAGTAGTTCTTGTCTTTTTCTTCTTCTCTGTATAAAATACAAGTCATATTTCTGTAAACGGTTTCCAAAACACTTTTTTGACTTGTTTACCACAAACTTTGTTTTTAGGACACAACTTTTACCAAAAATCAGTTTGGCACATTCATACTTGTGCGGCTTAACCACATTCACAACCATGCATTTAGGGGCTCCTAAGCAGCCACACCATCTTACTTCATCGGGGGACAGCAGGACTTAGAAGTACATGCACTATGAAGCATCCACAGTAAGTGGGACAATGATTTATGCAATGTCCTCTCACAGGATGCTAGGAGGAAGGACTGGTCCATGTCATTATGCAGGCATTTTTAGGAGACCCCATCTACATAGTAAAATCTGCAAACTAACCTTATGACAAGGGCAGAACCCTGTTAGCAATCATGATGGACCATGTTTAAAACCAATCATGCCATTTACTGTTTACCAACCCAATTACCAGTTTCAGATTGGTCTCTGGGGCAAGAGTGCTCTTGCAGTGATGAGCTCTTGAAGTAATGAAGTTCACCTGCTCTGATTAAGGCAAACAGAAATCCAGCTGCTTTCTATTATCCTACATCAGCAGGAGTGGCTACAGGTCCTGGCTTTACTGCTCCCAGGACCCCATAAGATCCAGTTAGTATCCAGATCAGAATACAAACCTCACAGCTGTCCTGGGTAGCTTTTTTTTGTTTTGTTTTGGTTGCTGCTGATGACCCACATGTTTCTGGGAACGGGGTGGGAGGATGTAGCTAGCCAGGAAATTTTCCCTAAGGTAGAAATAACGGGGGGAAGGGATAAGGTTAGAGAGATTTCATCTGTTTTGCTCTTTTTGCAAAATGGAAGGATTTTCCTCCTCTGTTCCTGCAGGATTACTTGGAGTGCCTGGTCCTTCTAAAACCTGTTGTCCTGCAGAAGGCCTTTTGAAGTAACTTGGAGGAAAGACACCTCAGTTCAGATGGCTCAGCAGAACCTCCCATTAAAACATACTGTTATAAAACAGTGATTGGCAAAGAGCTAAAAAACCCCCAGCCACCCAGACAACTCCACCCCCCCCGCGCCCCCATGATGCTTTCAGTTTTGTTTTACAAGTTTCCAGAGCTTATCTAACTGACCCTTGCCCCTGATGGCCCCTCCTGGTTTCATATCAGTTGATCAGAAGAAATTCATTATCAAACCTCTCAAAAATAATAGCTATAATTGGGGTGAAGCAGGCCTTCTGATGGTCTGTTTATTTTGCAGATGTGGGAAGAATATCCTGATGTTTATGGGGTTAGGAGGTCAAACCGAAGCAGACAAGAGCCGTCGCGATTTAATATAAAAGATGAGGTAAGGAAAAAACAAAAAAGATGAGATGAGGGAATATTGAACATATAAAAACAAAAAAAAAAGGAAAGGACAAAGGCAGTTCAAATTGGTGTCACCTTTTAACAAGCACTGAGATCTATACTGATCCATGGATGTTGGGTTTTGCAAAATAAGGCCCCAGTCCTGCAGTTGGATCCATGTGGAAAGAGGCCCGTGGAGTCAGTGTCCCTGTGGGCATTAAGGTCTGCATGTGCTGATCTGATTGCTAGAGATGGGTCTTAATGCAAACCATGCTCTGCTATAGAAACATGCATCAGAGAAAGGGAGTCTTTTTGCTAAAGGAAACTTCCCAGAAACACCTTACAACAATAAAACAGTCTTTGCTCTATGTCCCAGAGTGTATCACAGGGGAAAAATGCATTTGTGTGTATATTCAGCTTTATGAACCATCACTTTTACATCTCTTTTTTTTTTTTCTTTTTTTTTGGTTGAATTTTTGGAGTATTTGCATTTCAGTTTAACGTGAGGGACAGTGGTGCATGAGTTCAGTATAACCTGGCAGTCAAAACTGTAAATGATTCTGTCCTGCAGAACGTGAAGAAATGTGGAAAGTAGCTGTTGCCATGCTCGTGCACGTTAAACGGTGTTTGCCACGTAGGACTTTTCACGTGCACTTCTCCCAGGGAGTTTGGCATCCTTTTTGCTGTTTTATAGAGCGGGGGGAAGCGAAAGAGAGAGAGGTTCAAACCAAGGTTTTTCAAAGTTGGAGGCCTAGAACTATGATCGGATACCTACAAATAAACAGCCAGGTTTTTCAGAAGAGCGGGATCCCTGTTGAGTCCTATGATAATCAGGCTATTATGGGCAGATGTTTTGTGTATTTGAATGGCTAATAATTATGCACATAGGTTTGCAAATTTTTGCCTAAACGATGATGTCAGTGTCGCAGATGAGCGCATGGAATCCAGGTTTCCTGACTCCAAGAGCCGGACTCGCGCTGAATGTCCCAAATAGCAGCAGCAGGGGAAAAAAGGGCATCTGGCACCTGATTGACTTAGCTTTTGTTTTCCTTTTCAAGTTCCGCAAAGCCCAGACTCGCTGGCGGCCTCTCTGTGCGATGCCCCAGCATGCACTATGCTGGCGATGTCACACCCACCACCGATCTCCGCTGCAGAGCCGTGTGCCCTGTAGGGGGCTCAGGTAAGTCCCGTCTTTTTTTGTTTTACAATATTACGTGGTTTTGCAAATGTTTGTTTTCTTTTTCGATATCTTCATTTCCTACCAAATAAGGCACCGTTTAAAAAAAAAAAAAAAATCCAAAATGTAAGAACTTTGCTATACCACACAATATTGTAAAAAACAAAAAAAAAAATCCGTCAATTCCTCTCACCAAAAAAATAAGAGAAAATTTGCAACCAAATTCTTCCCCTCCACCCAAAGCAGGACTGATTGATTCCTGTAGGGCGGCTCCCATCTGCAGCAGAGTCTGATGGAGGGTGTGACTGGTCAGTAGCACAGCGCTGGGGCTTCACAGTGAACAGAAGACGGAAAGTCTTGAATTTGGAAATGTTGACTGTGGAGAATATTTGCCCTTGGGCTCTATCCTGTGTAGTGCTGAGCACTCCCCGTTCCCAGTGGAGTTGGTAAGAGTTGAAAGCACCTAGCACCTAATGAGAGTGCTTTGTAGCTTGCAGGATCAGACCCTTTGACAACGGCATTGTTTTTTTCATTTGATGTCTGGGGCTTGCAGCACAGTGCAGAGGAGCTTTTCATCTGCACTCTTTCCTAAAGTGTTTGTGCAGTTAATGAAATGATTTGATCAGGCAGTATTGCAAGTTGAGATCCTATCAATACAGAACAGAATATCTCCAGTAGCAGCTCTTTCAACTTTCCTGTGTGCTGCCCTAAAGGGTCTCCTAAACTCTTGACCTGAAGGGATTGCTTGAAAGGTTAGATAGTCTCTAGGGACCAGTCAGTTGCTGGTCTCTGCTGAGCCTGGTGGTTTGGGCAGGGTTATTTTTGTGCTGTGAATGCTTCTTCCTCTGGGAACTGAACTGACACCATCGAACATATATCATGCAAGTCACCCAGCAGACATCAGAGATGCTAATGACTTGCCATCTGTACTGGTTTGGGCCAGAAGGTTAGGAAGTGAAAGAGAAGTTTTGCATGTTTCTTAAATGTTTGTGACTCCAAAGCAGCGTCCAGGAATGAAGAGGCTTTGTGAGAGCTTGAAGTAAGAACAGTCCCCACCTATGCCTTTTCATGTTGAGCAAAAGGGCAGCATTTCACACCAGAGGGAAGTGAAATCTTCACAACATTTGCTTTTGCTATTCTGAGGCATTCAGTAAATTAGCTTGCACTTGCGAGTATAACGTAAGAAAGTTGTTTCCTGTTTGGAATGAGTAAGCGCCTACAAAGCTGGAGGCTTGTGTTACAGCAGGAGTCTGCTGCTCACAATTTCTTGATTTATTACTATTTTTAAAAAATCACAGTTTTGAATGTATTTTTATCCGCCGCCTTATTCTAATGTGTAACGTGCAAGCTCCTCTACTGCTGCCTAGTGGAATACTTTGTTAGGCAGGGAAAACCTAACCTTTCGGTCAGGATTCTCCAGTATTTGGAGTACAGCACAAGATGACACCCACAATGTAAAGGGGAAGGGGGTGAGGGAGGGGAATAGAGAGCTTGAATGATGATGAGCTGAGCTGGACTTTTATTACTGTTCCTTATTTGTTAAATTCTGGCATTGGACCTGGTCCTGTGCAAGACATAAAATGGACAAGGCCTTAGTCATTATAATGAACTTAGGGGCACATCTGGAATGGGAGTGCAATCTTTCAAGGACTTATGTAGCTGCCTAACTCCTTTGTAGTCTAAAATGGGACCTGGAGTTGCTACCAAATTAAACAGTGGGCATGTCTACATGTTGCCCTCTGGCGATGTAGCGACGCGCTGCATTGCTGTACGGCGTGCTACGGTGACATAGTGGTTGCATGTGCTTACGCATGATCACCAGCTATGTTGCCACAGTGGAACGCTGCTCGGGTGTAGTATGCTGCTACAGCGACGTAGCGGGAAAATCTACCCATGTGCCACGCACATGGCGCAGTAACCTCCCATTCTGTGCCGTGCTTTACTACTTCCAAAAGGCGATGTGTGGATGTGCCCAGTGACTCTTAAAACCTTTTATTCTGCAGTGTGATCTAAGCATACTCCTGTAGGCCTGTGAACACACTGCTTGATACTCGCTGGTTTTTATTCTGGACTACTAAAGAGGAAAGACTGTAAATCAGAGAGTCTAGCAACACCTTAGAGCTTCTGATCTGTAGTCCTCAGGAACAGGAAGCATGGCTGTAGTTTTTCTAGTGTTGCGTACATGAACAGATATTTCAAAATACAGTAGAGCTAAACAATGCAGGGAGACAGAGAAACATAAAAAAGCTAGTTAGGGAGTGAGTCATTTAGCGGTATTTGCAAAGGATGCAAGAAATGGGATGGAAAGTCAGCAAAGCAGGAGGCAGAAGTCTGTTTCCCCTGGTAGAAAGTCACGGCTAATAAGTAACCAGGAGGAAAACTGAGAAGGCCAGTGCAAGTTAAATTGAAGTGAAACAGAGACAAGTGAGAGATTTCACACTGCACCTCTAGGGGAGGAAAAGCTAACTGGGTTAAAGCCATCGTTCCACCACCCCCGGTCTAGGCTGTTCCAAGAGCTAAGTTAATAGACAGCCCATGCCTATCAGTTTTGGGAGCAATGCAGCTCCCTCTGTCCCTGCCTCTACTTGTAGGCCTTAAAGGGCATCTTTGGAAGGGAGAGCATTGAAAAGTTAGTTTATCTCTGCCTGATGGATTGCCCCCCTAGGCATCCGTAGGCTGTCTCTCTCCCTTTAGTTTATGCACGGGGGGGGGGAAAGTCTTCCCTGGTGCATTTAGAGCCCCTTTTGGTCACTTTGCCTTTTTTACTTGGCCAGCAGAGGTCAGAGTGGGGAAGAAAAATCTCATCCAAATTTTGTTAGTTGGAGCAAATCTGTGGAGGGCTTTTGAACGGGATGCTGAAAATGACATGAAGGGCAAGTTAAAACAAAGATGGGCATGTGCTCGCTTTTTTGTGCGTCTGGAGCAAGTAGGCAGCAACTTCCTGCGTGGGGCTGGAAGAGCGGGGTCAGATACCGTCGAACGGAGAGTGAGGTTAGTCCCGAATAGAGGAGGTGACGCAGCGGAAGATTTCTGCAGAGGTGGAGTTGGGCCAAAGGGTGTTTATGAGCAATACTGCAGACGTGACAGTAGGCCTGTCTGCGGACCCAAGAGGCTGTGGGAGCACAGGGAAGACTCAGGCTTGGATGAACTCAGCATTAAACAACTAGCAGACAGGTGACTCATATGGGAGGTTGGCTGAGCTTCAGGGAATAGAGCTGAACTCCAGACTCATGTTACCCAATGGCTGTATCTGAACAATTTAGCCGAAGGTGGCTGAGATGAAGCCACAGGGTCACTGGGTCAGAGCAGAAATATACAGAAAGCTGGAGAATCATCCAAGACTTGAGTATCACTCGGGTAATTTTAATGGTAACAGAAAGGCAATTGAATGGGAGGAAATAGAGAAGGCAGAAAATTGAGCCTTGTTAGAATAGAGAAAGAGCAGCCACGGTTAGAGCGCAGCAAAAACAGTTGCCCTCTCCACACTTTATCTTGTATGATGCAAATCTCTGTCTACAGAGTGAAAATATAAATGTTGTTATTTGTATTTTATCAAAAGAGAAAGCGAAGAAGTAGGTGTGCAGCAAAGGAAAGAGAAAAAACTTGCTCAAAAAAAAAAAAAAATCCCAAAACTGGGGATGGAGGAAAGTGCAGTGGGGATGAAAGGGTTTGGAAACAAGGAGAAAAGATAACTAACAAAAGGGACCAATGGCTCTAACCAAGCATATTGTATTATACTTGTTCAAATACTAGAAATCATAGAGAAGAGGGATTTGTGGGCTCATTTATTCAGTAAATGATGAGAGGCCTGAAATTAGAAGATGTCGTTAGTGTGATGCAACTCAGCATTATCAGCCAGCCCTTGTCTTGTTAGATAGTGGGGGGGGGGAAGGGAGGGGACCAATTTTATGTTTATTGCAGATAACACCGCATGCTGGTTCAGAAATACAGGTCTGTTGCAAAATACAGTTCATACCGTGTTAGATTGTCATGAGCAAAATGGATACAAAACACAGCGAGGGGTGTTTGTCTTTCTGCCAGCCTAGTCTGTGGCCAGGATGGTGTTCAGTGCTTCAGATCAGCTTAACATAACCCTCCACTTAAGCAAGGAAGAAAGGAAATAAATGACAAGGAAGGCAGAGAAAGGGCATAAAAGTTGTAAGAAAAAACAGGTAAAAGGGGTATGTTCCTAGTGTCCATGGGATTGTCTCCTTAGTGAACGTCCTGGCCTCTGCCATTTAAAAAAGTTGTTACATTAATGTCACTCAGTTGTGAGCTTTGTTTGGCTGTTCTCCATGTCATAGGATAGGGATGGATCATGCATCGAGCACCTCCTGCATTGCATGGAGTTGGGGTGTTCAAGTTTCTCTGGAGCACTTGAGCGTCTTGCAGCTTCCAGTCTAGGTGGTATTTGCATTGCCTGAAACACACCGCAAGTTTTGGTGCAAGAGGTAGCTTGTCAGAGTGAGTATGTAGGAAATATGAACACTATTTCACGTCTTTCCCAACATCAGATGGCAGAGGCCAACGTTGTTTTAGACCAGGGTGGCCAACCTACAGTATGAATGCCACAAATAGTATGGGAAGCCTCTGTGTCTTGTGCACAGCAGATAGTGTGGGGAGCAGAAAACAGCAGCAAATCCAGAAGAGGATCTGAGTGGCACTTGGGGAAGACATGGGGATTAATTTGTGGCATGTCTGCCTAAAAGGTTAGACTCCACTGCTTTAGAGAACAGTTTTCTTAGGTGTTCCTTCCCAGGAGTGTTTAAAAATTACTGCATTTGACACCTTAATCCTTCATTGCTCATGGTACAGCTGTTGTACGATAGGTTGGATGTGCAGACAGTGCAAATCCAAGCATCAGCATAGAGTGAAAGGATATACTCTTAGTGAATTGCCAAAGCCATTGCCAGTAGCAGTATGTCTCAGTGCTGTAGCAAAAAGTGGTTTTGGAAGGAGAAATGCAAATGAGCAAGTTGCACAGAGCAAATCTAACATGGCTGTTTCTGTCATTCTGGCACGATCTGGGACACACTGGACTGTGTTTTTTCCTACACTGGTGTTAATGCTTTGTGTTTGTATGAGGGTGTCGAAACCAAAAGGAAGGGTGATTTGTCTCATATCAGAATCTTCTAGTTTGGATAGCCGCTTCATAGGACTGCTCAGTTTAAAAAAAAAATGAAGTTAGGTATATGGCTCAATTGTGTTTTTAATTGTCTCAGCACCTCAAAGTTAATGAACCTGACATTAAAAAAAATATGGCGGTTTTTAGAGAATCCATCTCTAACTAAGAACTAATTGCAAGAAGTGATTTAATTTCATGAGGATTAAGAGGAGGGAAAGCAGCAGAGTATCCTTTTTGTTTGCTCATCTTATTAATTATTTTTACTGAGGGAAAAGAAACGTGATTCTAGCAAAGTTTCCTTTGCTTTGTTAAGACCTCCAGGCCTTCTTTGGGAACTGGATGATGAAGAGTTGGGTTTTTATTTTATTTTATTTTAACTGTATAATTTTTACATTCCTAACATTCCTAAAATGTTTCCATCCGTCATTCTGAGCTTAATTTATATTTAAAGAAAAAAGCCTGAGTTTTTATTGATGAACATGACTAGTTTTGATTTTTGTTGTCCTTAAGTGTTCAAAGATCATGAGTCAGGACCCTCAAACCTATTAAATTGGCTTCCAAATCACATGATTTTAAAAATAAGTGTCGTCTTTGACCTCTAGTTTTTGCGTCTTTTAGGGCATGCTTGGGTTTTTCTCCATGACCATGATGGGCAGGAACATTTCTAATGAAGTGGCTTGATTTCAGGATCTAGGTCCAGATATCTCAAGACTCAGGACAATCACAGTGGCTGGCATGCATTCTTCATCACTGCCTCATCAGGCAATGGCCTGAGAAAATAGCTGAGCCTTAGTCATACACTACCCCCTGAAAAGTACCGAGTTTTGGCTTTGATCAAAGAGCACAAATATCATCTTTGCATTCAAGGAATGATCCTTAATGTTAAAATGTAGAAGTTGTTAATAGATGCATCCTAGCTTATCATCTTGTCTCCATGGTGCATCTGCAGCCTCGGACCTGGAGGCAGTAGGTCAGATTTCTCTTGAGTTGAACCTTTAGGAGACGGTATATAATGTGCATCTGGCTGCTGCCATCAGGTGTTTTTTGTGCTTAGAGACTGATGCTGAGAGGTAGGTGGGATGTGTAGTTTGTTGCTTTTCTGGGCTCAATGAGTCCAAGATCCATGTTTTACCAAGGCTTTTTGTCCTTTCTTCTGAGTTTTCTTTATAATCCCTTGCATTTAGAAAACAGTCACATTTTTAGTCTTCAGGCCACTGAGTGGTGCTGGTAGCTGCCACCTTTTAGTAACAGGGTCACACAGTTGCATCCCATTTTAATTTTAGTATCACAAGAGAGAGTTCATGGGCTGCTTTTGAGCTGCTTTCTAGCTTAGGCAGTCTGTGTGTTTCAGTTGTTTCCGAAAGGAAACTGTGCGGAACAAAGTCTACAATCTGATCTCTTTTTTTAATTAAAGGCAAGTAGCGAATCTGAAAATGAGAGCCCCAAAAGAAGAGGCCAGAAGCAAATGAAAAAAACGTAAGTTTTGGTGGAGCGGGTTGGAGTTGGTTTGGTTTTATTTGACGTCTTTGTAGAAAATGGGCCGTCAGTTATATTTGAGGGACACAGCTGAGAGAGATCAAAACCTTATGAAGTAATTCTGCTTATTAATAATGGGTTGGATGATTAACCCTGAAACAGCAAGGATTTTGGTGGGAGATATCTTTTCTTGGATGAACTGCATGGTTAGGATAGAGTTAGACAAGCACGAGAAGCAGGACTTAGACCATGCAAAGCAGTCTGTTCCTTTTAGCAATTTACCCCCTTTGTTTACTTTTTTTTTTTTTTTGCACATAACTGATGGGGAAATTGCATTGGTGAGCTTAGTTTTCCCCATCTGGTCTTTCACCTCTTTTGTGTCTGGTGCTGTTGATTTTCAAGTTTTCGACACAAAAAGCTGAATTTTGCAATCCTAAGAAAATGTTCTTGTTCATGGCAAAAAACCATGAATTTGTCTCTAGATACATGAGATTTTTATGATTTTTTCTCTCTCTCAAAAAAAAAGAAAGACCCTTGGCAAAATTTTAATCCCAGTAGACTCACCTTTATTCCTCTGGATTTGTGTAATATGGCTGTATTCTTGCAGTATGTGCTAATAGGCCTGTTGTCAACAAAAGAGGGGCTTCCATGCTAGTGAACACTTTGAAACACTGACATGCCACAAAATTTAGTTGCTTTTCTTTAATGTTTTTTTTTTAATTACCTGCTTGCAGTTCAAATGAGATTGTATATAACATAAGACGCAATAAGGTTAGGAGAGAACCTAGACTATATGGGATCCTACTTAATACAGACCACGCTCACTAAGCTGAAGCCCATACTTTTTAGAAATATGAAAGCAATGTTTTCAGAAACTTCCCCTGCAGGTTTCCCAGATCAGCTCAGAATGCCTGAGTGGAAATGAAAAATAAAAGGAATGGAAGTCCTTACATATCAAATCATTAGAAATGCAGCTCTGTTAAGCATGTCACAGCTATATATTTTCGGCATTGTTCTGACCTCAGGAAATACGTAATTATGGTGTCTAGATGCGTGGTGGAAGTAGGGAATCATAGTGTGAGATCCAGGTGTTTTCCCTTGAGTGATGAATCTGGCAGTGCTGGTGCTGAACTTTCTCTCTTGTCTAGCTCCAGTCCATGGGCACGAACCCGTGATCCAGCTGACCTGAATTTCTGTGTAGTCAGCTGATGTTGTTGAAGTGCAAGTGTCCCTTCTGATTTATGTTTTTGACCGTAGAAATAAATGGAAAAGGGAGGTTTCTGGGGAAGAGGAGGATGAAGATGGAGGGGGGCAAGGCACCAGTGCAGAAAGTGAACCGGAGCCGAAGAAAGTTAAAGCTAGAAGACCTGCCCCGAGAAGGTGAGAAGGGATAGGGTTCGCTCGTTTTCCCTTTGATATGGGATGTCTCTAATTTCACTGCTCCAGAGATACCTGGTGAATGACCTTCTGTAGGGAACTGCTGCTGGGAGCCTGTATGTGCAGTGGAGCCAGTTAACATGGAGCTGAAGCTGTGGAGCAACCTCCTGTGGGAAGAGGTTGGAAACCTCATCCCTTGAGTAATTTAGAAGTGACTGAAAAGTATGCTGAAGGGACCAGTCCTGCATTGGGGTGGAGGGGGAAAATCTCTGCAGGCCCATACAGAGGTTTAATATTGTTCTCAGTTGTGGTGCTGGGGACCTGATTCTGTTTTTGTTACACCAGTTTAACACAGCTGTGTGTAATCCGTTGATCTCCATGGAGTTGAAAGGGAAATGGAGGATATTGAGATATGCCCATCCTGAGGGTTGGGCAACCCTGTTGAAATATGCTCCTTGCCTAAAACATACTGTATTACATCTTCCTATTCATAATCATTTTAGAGCAGTGGCCAAAACCAGTGTTAAAAAGCCCCACAAACCCCAGCGTGGGAAGAGGAGAAAGAAACAAGACTCATCGGAAGATGACGATGACGATGATGATGACGAGACTCCAAAAAGGCAAACTCGCCGCCGAGCAGCCAAAAATGTCAGGTACAGCTGAGCTGCTAAGACACATTGTGAGCAGAGCAGGGACTTGGGATTTGGGCCACCAGCTGGCTGACAGCGTGAGTCACAGCAAGGTCCCCAGCTAGTTGGTGTGGGCGACTCACTGTGTTGCATGTGCACCCATTGATTCTCACACAGCCCTTCCCACAGGATCAGGGCCTCTGATATTTAGCCTCTGTAGCTCATGATGTTCATTATATTGCATGCTGGTCTGTCTCAGTGGGGTGTTGGGAGGCTTCATTAATGTTTCTGGTGTGCTTTGAGGTCAGAGGAAGGGTGCTACGATAATGGAAACGTATCAGACCTGCAGGATATCAACCTGCAGAATATTTGCCCGTGGCTAGAAGCTCACAAAGGTTGAAACGGTCCCCAGCATCTTGCGGGTCCCTTTCCAGGCACTTGGTACTCTGTGAGGCTCATGGTTCTGAGTGGAAATTAACCTTTCATTAGTGAAGGATAGGAAGAAACTTACTCTGTAGGCAGCTTTTTGCATAACTGTCTGTTGCAGGTTTTATTGTACCTCCTTCTGGCCCCTATGAGAGGCAAGGATACAGGACTAGGTGAACTGCTGCTCTGATGCAACATATCTATCTCTGTCTTTTAAGAGGCAGAGTAAAATTTCAGCTAGGCTGAATGGCGACTCTGAGAAACTTAGGCATTGCACTCAACATCAAATCCCAGCATAAATGCTGGAGGGGTCTGTTCAATCCCTTCCCCTGCCACATGCATTTGGCTATAGTTTAAGAAAGTTAAGGACATTTTCTCATTTGAGCTTGGTCTTCTACAGTTACAAAGAAGATGATGATTTTGAGACTGATTCGGACGACCTGATTGAGATGACCGGGGAAGGAGCGGACGAACAGCAGGACAACAGCGAGACCATTGAGAAAGTCTTGGATGTCAGGATTGGAAAGAAAGGAGGTGTGTTACTTCAGGATGCTGTGTTGGGTTATGAGTCTGCTCACATTTGCTCTCTGAGCCTTGTGGGCAGGTGTAATGCTGCTGCATGTTTGCTCTTTCCGGAGGGCAGAGGGTGTTTAAATTCCATAACTTCTTTCCTCTCTCGTTTCCATTTTCATTTTATGTTGAACGTTTTTGTTTGTAGCAGTACCTTTCATACAGTCTGTTCCTTACAACACCTAAATGTTCCCTGTGCTGCCTGACAGTTTCCTGTGCATGTGTTAGAAACCTGCAGAAAAATACGGGAGGCAGGAATGAAGCAGGTGCTTCCTTCTGCTGCCTGTTTTCAAAAGAAATCTGCTCAGCTGGTATAAGTTGCTATAAGTCCATTGCTGGAACAGGAATACTTTACACCAGCTGGAGCCCTGCCTCCAAAGATTTTGCATGATTGAACAGCACTAGAATGTTTTAGGAGAGCTTTAAAAGGTGAAGGATCAAAACACTTGTGACAGAAGGGTTTGAGCGGGATTCTGGTATAAGGAGAGACTTACATGTGATTGTGGTAGGTTCAGAGGTGCCGTGGGACAGTGGTTTCCGAACTGTGTTCCACAGAACCCCTGCGTTCATGACAGGTCATCAGGGTTTCCACAGAGAGACTGGGGCTAATAGCATATTGGGCTAGGAGGCAGTACTCCATCGTTGTCAGGCTGGGTTGCCCAGGTCTGTCAGCTCACAGGATAGGGGTAGGAGCTGCGCAGCAGCAGAAGTGATTTGAAACTTTCCCGTCACTTTAGGACATCTGAAAATCACTGCTGTAGGATATTATTCATGTTCCTGCAAAGATGCACTAGTTAGGAACTGGTCCCTTCTCTGGTACAGCTCACTTTGAGCACTTGGCTAACAAATGTATCAACCGCAGCCCAATTTTTTTCCAGCCACTGGTGCATCCACCACCGTGTATGCTACGGAAGCCAACGGTGACCCGAGTGCTGACTTTGACCCTGAAAAGGATGAAAGAGAAGTTCAGTACTTGATCAAATGGAAAGGCTGGTCTTACATCCACAGCACGTGGGAAAGTGAAGAGTCCCTGCAGCAGCAGAAGGTGAAGGGTCTGAAAAAGCTAGAGAACTTCAAGAAGAAAGAGGAGGAAATCAAACAGTGGTATGTTTCCCTGGAGACAAATGGGGTGGCAGACACGGGAGGTTATTTCACGCCAAGCAATACCTGAGCTCTGCCAAAGTGGGTTTTTCTGTTCAAGTGTAGGCCTTGGAGAACTTTTTTCTTTGGATCCTATCTAATGGAAACAGATCTCTCTTTACAAAGTAATGTAAGGCTCAGTTTCTGGTAGGAACGTGTGTGCCAGATGATCCCAGCAGTAAAGTCTTGCTAAAGTATCTAAGTGAACTAGGGACATAAATCCTATTTTCAGTGATGATTTAAGTGTTAATTCTATTGACTTTCCATAGGACGTTGTTTCCTTTGGACCCAAGTGACTTGATAAGCTGTTTGGGCATCTAGGTCCCATTCGATGCTTTTGAATATTTGACCAGTCTCCTCCAATAACAGAGGTTCTGGCAGAAAACTTTTCCATGTCTCTATGGAAGCTAGGGTCCTGTTAACAACATTTTCTCTATATGTCCCGAGACAGACACACAGAGTATTTCTTTTTGTGTAAAGCTGCTTTTCATGTAATTTTGGCTTTGTAGAGGAGCAGCTTGCAAAAGTATAAGGGAAAACTGTTAAGTTCCCCAGTGTTTTGCCATTGGTGGGGTTTGGCTGTCAGTAACGTGTTCCTATAGAAATGTTAAGAGGTGTATCAGATAAGTGACTGACAGTGATTCTAGGACAGTTCTCAACATTTTCAGACTAGGCATCCCTTGGAAAATGCTAATTTTTAGTTTTCACAGGTTTTTTGACTCCAGAAGAAGATTAGAGTAGTTCTTCTGTTGCGAAGAACTCAGCCCACAAGAGGACCAAATTTTTTTTTAACCTTGTGGATTTCTGTTTGAAATCTCTGATTTGATCTTATGATGAATCATGTTTTCACAATTAACAGTACTAATACTGCATGGCACCCCTTGACAGCACCCTTGAAAGGCTCCCAAGGGGCCCCAGGATGCTATGTCACCCTGGCTGAGAATCACTGGTCTAGGACTTACTTAACTAACTCATGAAACTGCCCGGGTTGGGTAGACTTTCAGCGCATGGCCTTGATGAGTGCTTTGTAGGAAGCGAGCAGGAGAGTTGTTACACGTGTCTTTTCTACCCAGGCTAGCCAAGGTGTCCCCCGAAGATGTGGAATACTACAACTGCCAACAGGAACTGGCTGCAGAGCTGAATAAACAGTATCAAATAGTGGAGAGAGTGATTGGTAAGTGGAGTAGTAAATATTAGAGGTGCACCGATACATCAGTCCGATACTGGATCGGTACCGATATAAAGAAAATGTGCTGTATTGGATATCAGCCCAGTGGGGCTGATAAATGCTCGTGCTGCGTGCAGCTGCAGCGCAGCACTCAGGCGGCCAGGAGCACAGCCAGCAGCGTGGAGAGCTGCCTCCTGCTGGTCAGTCCGTTGTGGTAGAAGGGGAGGGGGGAGGGAAGGGAAGGGGTGTGGAGGGGGATGCAGATCAATGCCTCCTGCAGTGAGGGAGGGGGAGGGGGCAGGTGCTGGGCAGAGGGGCAGCTCCCGCTGCTGCTTGCACCCCTGCTTGCCCCGGATTGGGGCAGGGATGGGCTTCAGCCTAGGGCTCTAGGGGCGCTTGGAGCGGGCGCTGGCGGCACTGGGAGAATCCTGCATCTGCCCCAGATTTTGCCCCCACTCTGCTCCCAGCGCTGCCACCTGCCAGTCTGGCTCTTCCTGGCATGTGGGTGGAGGTGGGGTGTTGAGCCAGAGCAGCACCGGGCAGCTGGCAGCAGCAGTGCTGGGAGCTTTGCTGCAGCAACATTTGGGTGGATGCAGCATCCTTTCAGCACCATTGGCACCTGCTCCAAGGCCAGTCCCCGCCAAGAAGAGTCCCGTGCAGCCCCACCCTGCACAGATCCAGGGGCATATGCCCCCCCGGGCCCACCTGGGGTGCAAGCAATGGCATGAGCTGCCCTCCCCACCCCCGGCTGTGGCTCATGCAGCCCCCCCGCCCCACCTGGGCAGCACCTGTCCCTGCCCTTACCCCCTCCCTCACCACGGGAGGGGTATTGATCTTGCCCCCAACCCCTTCGCTCCCCCTTCCCCTTCCATCATCCTGGACCTACCAGCTGGAGGCAATTGCATCGGAAATAGGATCGATATCTGCCGATATGCCTCCTTAAATATCGGCTATCTGTATCGCCCCCCCAAACCTTTATCAGTGCACCCCTAGTAAGTATTCCTAGAGGATGAAGAGCAAGACTTCAGAATTCAATTTATTGGGGGCGGGGATTGGATTTTGTAAGAAGGAGCCTCTCTGCCCTCCATCTGCCATCCATTCTATAGGATACAGGAATCTCAGGATTAATGCACAGGAGAGCTGGGTTTTCTGTGGCTCAGTGCCCCGAACTGTAAAATGTGATTGATAGTCCCTGTTTCCTGAGTATTATTGTTCATAAAGGTGTTGGAGATCTATATGTAGAAAGTGGGTGAGGCACAGTGGTGGAAGGACCATGTGGTCTGACATGTTGTTAATAAAGAGTGGCTTGTCAGGTTGGAACTTAGGTTTTTGTGCTTAGTGACAAATTGTGGCTGGGTCAGGTATTGAGTAAGTTAGTAATGTAACGCCGATTTAGTGGGGGCTGCCCAGTGCCTTTGGAAACTAGACATGAAGAACTGAGTGTTGTGTTTTAACAATCTTTGAATACATTGAAGAGATTAAAAAACTGTTAGTATAACTATGGGAGCTCCAGAATATCTTGTTTGCCCTTTCTTCTGGCTGTTCAGACACTAAAGCCCTTCTTTTATTGTTTCTGTAAACATAGCTATGAAGACCAACAAGTCTGCAACGGGACATTCTGAATTCCCAGGTAAAGTGGCCTTTAATTCCCTTTCTGCCATGCTGGGCTCTCATTCATGTCCTGTCTTGCAGTGGCAGCGGTTGATAGCATCACTGTCTTGGTCTCCTCTTGCTCACGGTGTTTTGTTTCTGTGCTGTAGCTCACAGTCGGAAAACATCCTCTAACGATCCCGAGTACCTGTGCAAGTGGATGGGGCTGCCCTATGCAGAATGCAGCTGGGAAGACGAGGCTCTGATCTGCAAGAAATTCCAACACTGCATCGACAGCTTCAACAATCGCAACAACTCCAAAAACATTCCCACACGGGATTGCAAGGTGCGCTTTCTTCCCTGCTGTCTGCTTGCTAAGTGCTGGATCTAGGTCTTTTCCGGTTTTCTTGGGGCATTCGGGAGGGGGGTTTGGAGCAGAAAAGCAAGATGTTTCCAGCACGTCCCAGTCCCCCATCCCCCTCCCGCAGGTCAGTTCCTTTGTTCAGGGGTTTGCTGCGTTCTTTTTAGTGCCGTATCCTGATTCTCAAGACAGGTCACTTACCCTGCAAAACAGGGCCTGGGTCTTTTTTCCGGGAGCTCTCTCGTTGTACTATGTAGGCAGATGGGGTGGAGTTAGCGCTAAGTCCAATGGCAGCTCCTCTCCTTAAGTTTATCATCTGCCACTAGTGATTGTTATCAAAGGTTGTCTTCTGTTTTACTACGTGCACTGCGTGGCAGAGATTATGTTTGTAAGGCCCTATCCTGGGGCCCTGTATTGCCCTGCATCTGTACATGAGGTACTGTAGTTTTGAGCTGGGGCACGTTTGCCACACCAGGGCATCGTGTTTTAGACAGCTCTGTTTAGTGAACTAGTTAGAGCTGAGTGTCGTTATGCTCAGCAATACAAAGAGTCATCTTCCTCTTCCTCTGGGGCTTGTCTCTGGTTTGCCAGGACCATGCCAGCATAGTTTGCATCGTCAGGACCTGGCAGGAGTTAACTGGTGTTTATAACTGAAATAACTGAGCTCTATTTTGGTGGGAGGTAAGCGTAATAGATTTCTCATCCTGGCTCTCTGAGAAAATATGTTTTACCGGCTGCATCTTCTCTTAATTTGAAGTGGAGCATGGCGTGCAAATGCCATGTTTCTCTGTGGGAAGAAAAGATCCCTGCTTAGTGCCATGTCAGTGTTTAGAAATGCTTTTGAATGAATGCTTGTTGTACTGTCTGTCACAGTAGCTAGAGAGATGCATCCCTTTTGTATCTTGGCTACCCCATCTATAAATTGGAACAGTGACACTTCTGTACCCCACGGGGTGCGGGTGGGGTGGAATATGAAACTTCAGCAATGCTTGTAACGTGCTTCGTAATTCACAGAGAAAAAGGTGTTTTAGAAATGTGACAACATGCCCAAGAAAAAGGGGAGATTGGGATTTGGCAAAATAGATAAAATGGAAGGAATGAGAATGGAAAATGGGAGATGGGAATAAAAGAGGCAGAATGAGAGAGCCAGGAGGCAGAGACATGGTGAAGGTCTGGTCAGTGTGGGTTACACATTGCAGCTTTACAGGGTTTCCTTGGAGGGTTGGCCTGTGGCTCTGAATGTCTGAGCTGCGGCAGAAGTGTGCGAGCAAGCTGTTGTTGCAGGTATGAGTACTCAGAATTGCCTTTGCATATGTACGCACACGTGTGTCACAAGAAGAAGTGCTGTTTTTGTGCATTGAGTCTGAAGCCCTTATTTCTACTGCAAGCTTAAAGGTTCTGCCTTTTTTAGGTGCTGAAGCAGAGACCTAGGTTTGTTGCCTTGAAGAAACAGCCTTCTTATATTGGTGGCGAGAACCTGGAGCTCCGAGATTACCAGCTGGAAGGCCTCAACTGGCTGGCTCACTCATGGTGCAAGTATGTGCAGACGATGTGGTAATCTGGTTGGGTAATATTCTAGTTTTGTCTGGGGCTGCAGCATTAGTTTTATTTTTATTTTATTTTTTTGACACATTGGGCCGCATCCCTTTCTGATGTATCCCTGTTGCACCACACCAGGATGTGGCCCTGTGGTATTTATATCTTTGTCTTCGCTTAACCTGCTTCTTGCACCTTGAAAGTTAAGGTTCTCAAGGATCTCACATCCCTCCAGCAACACTACCTAGGCCTTTGTTGGAAAAAGGGAATTTTTTTTTTTATATGAACTGAAAGGGGGAAAAAACAGTTCCCAAAACTAAGAGGGGAACCCCATTGCACTTTGACGATGGGTACAAGAAGAGGCATATTCCCAGCACTGCTGTCTCATTTGTTTTTTCCTCCTCCTTATACCCAGCATCATCCACTTGGCTGTATGGAGAGGTGGGCGAGCCACTGCTGTGGAGATGGACCCTGAAGTTTGATAGTCCAGTGGCCTGGTCCAATCCCATATTCCTCAATCAAATGAGAAAAGCTGAATCTCTGTCTTGGCGAGCTTGAGCTAGCCCCTTTGGAACTCTGTTCCACATTAGCCCACCAGCTTTTTTATCTTTTGGCTTGGTGTTTATTTTCCAGTTTTGTGTGAATGTGGCCCATGCTTTGACCTCTTCACTCAGAAGTAGTTTCTTTGTAGTACAGTATAATGTGGATTCTTCTAGGCTTTTCCAGCCAGTATTTAAATGGTGTTTTGCAGTCCACACCTTTCAGTCTCTCTCATTGTTTATATCCCTGTCGGTGCTTAGTAAATCGGTTGTAGCCTGATGCTACAACTATATATATATGTATATATATATGTTTTCTGTTCTCCGTCTCAGGAACAACAGTGTGATCCTGGCTGATGAAATGGGCTTGGGGAAGACTATCCAGACAATATCATTCCTCTCCTATCTCTTCCATCAGCATCAGTTGTACGGTCCCTTTCTAATAGTGGTACCTTTGTCTACTCTCACCTCATGGCAGAGAGAGTTTGAAGTCTGGGCACCGGAGATAAATGTGGTCGTGTACATAGGAGATCTGATGAGCAGGAATACGGTGCGTGAACAGAGGCGTAGGGGTGGGTAGAACAACAGCCACAGTATAGCCTGCTAAGATAGATCAGAGATAGCGTGATGCTCTATGGAAAGGCAAACTGCACTAGAATTTGTTGCAGTGTGTATACGTTATGACTCCCTGGCTGGCATAACCTTGAGACCATGTATGAGTTTAAAAGACTCTGCCTTAGTTTTAATACCAGGAAAATATATATAATAGTTGTCTCACATAAAGAATCTTGGGCCTTAATATTTATAGTGTTTTGCAACCTGCTGACTGTAGATTTGCAGTCTTACCATTTGAGCAACAAGGTAGAAAAAGACACAATTTTATTGGGCAATATAGAAAAGCCACAGGTTGTGATTCATGATGGGACTGCAAGTGTCGTATTAATAGAGACTAGTGAATTAAGACCATCCTTTAGCAGCTCACCCTGCTGAGGCCTTCCCAGTCGCAGTACTTTCTTTGCAAGAACAGTTCTAAGGTGTATGGATTACAGTGGGATTCCTACGGATCTTACAAAGAAGGGGTGGTCATATGGTGTTACAGATTTCACAGGCTTCTGCAGCTACGGCACTAAAATATACGTGAGGCCAGAAAAATGTGTCTCATTAAAAGAAAACTGGTCCCTTGTTACTGAACTTTGTTGGCTTTGGGTTGATCTAGCCAACTAATTAACCTGCTTCGTTTGCTGACTGAACCAGTGTTTTTGCTCAGTACCTCAGTGCAACTCCAAGCCAGCATTGCTGAACAGAGCACACTGGAGCATTCATGGGATTGCCAGCTACGTTCTGACCCTTGCACACATTTATTGCTGCTGCTGAAGGAATTGGAAAGCACAGTTGCATGTTCAGGAGACTAAGCATGCAAACCCAAGGTTTTAGGGAGTCGTTTGTCTGCCTGTGCCTGTGGGTAAACTGGCAGGTGCCTTGCTGTGGCCCCACTTTGTCTATAGAAAATGGAAGACTTTTTTGAGGGAAGCAAATGTTGGGCTTTTCTGATTCGGATAGAAGGACGGTGCTGAAGGAAGGCAGTCGATTGTAGACCCGTCCTTGCTCAGCTTTGTCATCTCCCTTCACAGATCCGTGAATATGAGTGGATCCATGCTCAGACGAAAAGGTTGAAATTCAACGTGCTCATCACAACATATGAGATCCTTCTCAAAGACAAGGTGTGTAACAAGCAAAGAGGTGTTTATGTGAACTTCTTTATCAAGCATAAATAGGGGCGTCCCTGAGACTTCTGCTGTGAGTAGAGCATCTAGCCATGATCCAGAGCTGCGTCCTCCTCTGTGCTGGCTGAGAACCTGTAGACGCTGCTTGCTTTTACTTGGTCTACTAAAAACAGAATATAGTGTTCATGTGATAGGATTGTTACACAATGGGAATCACAATGTTCACCATTACACACACAAATAACGCACCTGTCGTCATGAAATCTGGGCTTGCTTTGCTTGGGTTAATCTGTGCTCATGGGGGTGGATTAAAGGGGGATAAGTGGGAGTAGGGGAGAGGTGTGCTGTAGGAACTTAGAAAATGTAAAGCCAGTCTGTTGCAGAAAAGCCCTTGTAACAGGTGGCCAGTCCTCTTAAGAAGAAGCAGCAGGCAGCCCTGTTAAGGATGTTCAGTTGTGGGGCATTTTGCTAAAGAGGGAGAGGGAGTGACCTACTGGGGCCTTTTCAAGTTCCTGGAAGCTGGAGTGAGGAGGGATGGGGCTGGGTGTGAAAATGGCTCTTCTAATATCCAGGGAGGACAGAGCATTTGGGTTCTGTTGTGTTTGTTTCATGAAGAATAAACTGTTGTGAAGCACTAATAACAGAACTAACTCACCTGGTTAAGACAGAAAGAGAAGCAACCCTCTTACAGCCCTTAAAACATGTTTGGGGCACTAGATAGCATGCTAATTTTAAACACTTCTGTCCCATTTAAGTGAAATCATAATTGATGTGGGGCCTCTCTCTCAAAGGCAAGATAACAAGATAATAAAATAACTTATTTTCAAGAGTTCCTGAAATCAGTAGGTGCCCAGACACCAGGGTGATGGGCACGGTATAAGAATTGCAGTAGCACATAATGGGATTACATGGCTGAGATGAGGTGCACAGAGAGGTTAAGCCAAATGCTTATGGTGCTTGTCTAATGTGGTGTATCCTTTGGCTTTGTTTTTTGCTCCAGGCTGTCCTGGGCAGCATTAGCTGGGCCTTTTTGGGAGTGGATGAAGCCCATCGACTGAAGAATGATGACTCTCTGCTATATAAAACTCTGATTGATTTCAAGTCCAATCACAGGCTGCTGATCACTGGGACCCCACTTCAGAATTCCCTCAAGGAGCTCTGGTCACTGCTGCACTTCATTATGCCAGAGAAGTAAGTCTTGTTGTGTACTTCAGGAGAAAACAGCATGTGTCAAAGCCACTCTCTTAACTAGATATAAAAGTGAACAGCATGGAGTAGCTTTGGAAAAGCATACACACCTGTGAATAAAGTGTGACTAGAGTTAGAGCAGAGGTTGGAAGAGGGAAGTTAGCACGTGCATAAAACACATAACGCCGATTCCAAAAACAACCCCAAAAGCAGCTCTTGCTGGATTACAAAAAGAAGAGATGAATGAGTCAGTCTCTGCCAAGTGCAAATGGGCAGATTTTCAGTTTCCTGAGGGGCTCTTATGAAAAGATGGAGAGGGCAGAAAGAAATTGATTTTTAAAATGGAGTAAAACCAGATCCATTTTTAGGGAGGACTGCGGCAAATACAAAACCTGCTGTCACGTAAGTGCTGGGTAGCCCAGAGCAGGGGGAATGTGAGAGAGTCTGATTTTAATTCAGGAGACAAAGTATAGTGTCACAGAGATTCAGGGTAACGTTTTAAAAAACGCATGTCCCATTTTCAAAATGGCTTTTCAGTGAGATCGACGGTCCATGTGCTTAAGGCAGTTTTGATAATGGGACTCGGCATTTTTGAAAATGTTGCCTTTCAGTTAATCTGGTACAGGCACTTTAAAAAAAAATGGAAAAAAGATGTTTGGAGGATGGTGGGGGGGTTATGTTTTTAATATGTGCATACTTCAGCAACTGATGAAGTGAACATGGGTTCATGAAAGCATATTTTCTCTCTAGATATGCATCTTATTTACTGTATGAAGGTGCATATCTGCTCTGCCTTCTGACTGCCCACTAACATGGCTAAATAGCTCTCTCTGCAATATGTACTGGCACAGATTGCAGCTTGCTAGGGGAAACACTGTGTCTGAGACCAACTGAAGGATTTCAGTTTTTGTGTCAAATTGTTTCGGGTCACTGTTCAGTCTCCCATTGGCTCCAGCTGGCTTTGGGTCAGGCTCTTCAACAACTGACACATTACACCCCAAAGTGGTTACAATTCAGTGGTGTATCCTTCTGCATACCACTGGGAAGAAAACTATTAAGGACAGATGAGGTGTTGATAGTAGTTGGCCTGGAAACCAAAAATCACAGAAGAAATCTGGACTGGAAGGAAGGGATGGTAGGGTAGTATTGCAAAGGCCCATATTTATTCAGTAGTACCTGACCTGATCAGAGTAAATGTTAGGTTTCCAGGCTAACCTCAAAAGTTGTGAAAAGGAGACTAGTGTCTGCAAATGATATGCTGAATGGTGATTTTTTTCGGCTACTGTTTTTAGTAATATCTTTATTTTGGAAGACGATTCATATTTATATTTACACGCTAGAGATCATTAACAGTATTTATTTGGTAACCCTACTTTTGTTTGCTGGAGTGAATGGCGATGTATTGTATGCAACAAAAATTCTGGTCCCTCGTTCAGGAGACATGGTTCATCAACGAAGGCTGATTTGTACAGTGATTAAAATAGGAAGCTAAGGTTAGCGCAGTATTCAACGTTGCCATTTATTGTCTTGAGCAAGCCACTTAATCTCTCTCCATTTTACTCTGCTATAAGAAGGCAGTTGTGCAGCTCACTCACAGGGGCACTGAGTACATTGCTTTTGATTCAGTTGGGACTCCTCAACTAGTAGGCATAGTCTAAGGGCAGATAATGAGATGGCAAACCAAGAGGCTTTCTAACCCCCAACTCCTAAATTGTACCATCAGGTTTGAGTTTTGGGACGATTTTGAAGATGATCATGGGAAAGGGAGAGAGAACGGCTACCAGAGTCTTCACAAAGTCCTGGAGCCTTTTCTCCTGCGCAGGGTGAAGAAGGATGTGGAAAAATCCCTGCCAGCCAAAGTGGAGCAGATTCTCCGGGTGGAAATGTCTGCCCTGCAGAAGCAGTATTATAAGTAAGTTACTTTCTGAGTTACTGACAATGACCAGTAGATGTGGGTATGGGCTTCTTCATTAGTGCCTAATGGATCGTTCTTTACCCAAAATCTGCCAGACACAGTGTGATTGGCAGCCTCCTTCAGCAGAGGAAGAAGCTGGGAAAGGTGGTATAGCATCTTGTCCCCAGGTCACCTGTGTTTGGATGGACATTATAATTCACGTACATGCTGTTTTTTTTTTTGGAGAGAGGGCAGTGATAGAAATTAGCTGGCTAACTTCACAGGGAAGGGACCACACACTTCTCATTGTTGTGAAGCTCTACGTTCTTTACTGTTAAAGAAGTTCACAGAGAGCAGCATTGGGATCTCAGGGGAAGAGCAAGCGGAAGTGTCATGGGGGAGAAACGAAATGGAGAGACATTGGGGAAACTGGTGCCGGAGCAAAAATGTCTCTCAAAGGTATTTTTCCTGAGGACACAAGTCTGTTTGTCTCTCTCCCCACTGAAATGATTTTTTGTTTTCTTCTGCCTGCAGATGGATTTTGACCAGAAATTACAAGGCTCTTTCCAAAGGGACAAGGGGCAGCACATCTGGCTTCCTAAATATTGTGATGGAGCTGAAGAAGTGCTGCAACCATTGCTATCTCATCAAACCTCCAGAGGAAAATGAGAGGGAGAATGGCTCTGAGATACTGCTGGTGGGTAGTTGTTTGGGGTGCAATGGCTTTCTCCTTTCCTTTCCCCTTACTTCCACACTCAGGCCAAAAAAAAAAGTTTTGCAAGTACTCTGGCCTCAGCTTGCTGGAAATCTGTTTTCTCTCCACAGCCACTCTCTATCCAGCCTTCCCCCTTGCTTTTGGGAAGACCCTGTGTCTGTTTAAACTGGTCATCTAGGGTAGGATGGGCATATAACAGCAGATCTGAGTTTGACACTTGGACTATTTTGAACAGATGCATTTTGATTTGCACTGCAAAGCTGTATGATGTAGTTGGTGTAATGAGGGAAACATTACCCTGTGTGTGTTGGGTCTGTATGGGACTTGCAGGGGAATGGTTGGAAGGATCAGCTGGAATGACTCTTACTTCTTTAGTCTCTGATCAGGAGCAGTGGAAAGCTAATTCTCTTGGACAAGCTGCTGACCAGGCTGCGTGAGAGGGGTAACAGAGTCCTGATCTTCTCTCAGATGGTGAGGATGCTGGACATCTTGGCGGAGTACTTGGCTATCAAGCACTACCCTTTTCAGGTGAGGACTGCAAGCAGTTGTACACTGAGATTAACAGGAAAGGGCAGATCAAGAGCATGGGCCATTTTGAGTGCCCAGATTCTCAGAGATTTGTAGCTGGTACTAAAGCAAAAGGCTCTGTATGAACTGGGAAATGCCATCATATTCCCCCATTGCAAAGTGCTAATTGGGTTGAAGGAATGAGCACTGCATAGACTGGGTGGATAGATAGGATTGAGCTAGGATTTAGAAGATCTAGGTTTAGTTCCTGGCTTTGCTGTTGGCCTGCTTGGTTGATCTTGGAGCCAGCCACACCATTTCCCTTTACCTCAGTTTCCCCACCTGTAATATGGAGATGATGTTACTGACTTCCATTTAAAGCTTTGTTGAAGAGCTACATGCTGTTATTCATGTTGTCCTTATTACTCATCACATGTGAACCCAGGCATGGTGGAAAATACAATGTGTCCATTCAGTGGTCTGTTATGTTGACCTTGATTACCAAAGTGCCATGTGGCATCCAGAGAAATCTTTTCCTCCATAGTGGGTGCATCTGCACGTGCACACTTACTGCCCAGTAATTAGGTTATTGTGAAGTAACCAAAAACTACTGCGTAGCATGGGCACGTGTCTACACGTGTGCACCCGTACTGTGACTTGTAACTATGGTGACTTATGCCAACTTGGGCGTAAATTTGCTACATGATGCAGGTAGCAAATTTATGCCCGAGTAGTTACTGTGCAGTAACACACCTGTAGACATGTTACTGTGCAGTAATAGTGTGTATGTATGTGTGCGTGTGTGTGTGGACTGACTTGGGATTAACTTTACTCCCAAGTTGGCCCACACACAGCATTACTGCATTGTAACGCCTTCACAGGTAGATGCAGGCTTAAAAACCCACTTACTGCACAGTAAATGCACATGTAAACATGCCCATATTGTTTCTACAGTGCATATATCTTGAGCTAGAAGTCTCCAGGGATGTGAACGGTTCTGGTCTGCCCACAGGGTGGTTTCAGCAGGGAGTCCTGAGCTTTGGACCGGCCTTCTCCTTGTGGTACAGTTAGTTGATTCCCTCAGGATATGTTTGCTGCCTTCTGCTTGAGTGGGAACATGAATGGGCTCCTTTGGCTAATGTGGCTATCCACTCCATTTCTCTTTGATGGATGCTGGCTTGACAGCCTTCAGCCCAGACGTTATGGAAGTGTCCATGTGCACAGAGCTTGCGAAAAAGGACACACTTTACACAGGCAAACGTGCAATAAAGCCCCTCCTCCCTGCAAAGCAGGCCTTGATTCTTAAAACCCCACTGAGGGCTGTAAATACAGAGATCCTGGCGGGGAGCCTGTAACGAGAGCTGCCGTGTCACCCACCGTGTGACTGCTGTCTAAGCATGTCCCCCTGCCCTCACAGCATGGCAGGTTATAGCAGTGCAGTTATTTTTAATTGGCGGTTATTTTTAATGATTAAAAGCTTGTAGCTGACAGCAGGCAGGGCAGGAGCCTGCAGAGCTCCCAGAGCTTCGGGGCAGCGATTCTTTAGGGGTCCTTTCCTTTCCTTCCTTTCACCATTATTGTTGGTTTTGCAGCGCTTGGACGGGTCGATCAAAGGGGAGATCCGGAAGCAGGCTCTGGATCACTTCAACGCTGATGGCTCTGAGGTACGGCGGCCAGGGGACCTGGGCAGGACGCTTGATCTGTGGGAGTTCACAGCTAAGCTGCAGCTGCAGTTTATAGCTACTGAGTGGGAGTGAGTTTGTGGCTTTTTTTTAAAGGGCTCTGGGTACAATTAAGGGCATGGCACTGGCAGGTTTTGTATCTTACAGCTGTCAGCATTGCTTGTTATAAACACCCTAAAGCCACAGAAAGCAAGGGGGTCTGTCTAGTTAGATCCAGACAGGATGCTCATTGACCACCAAGGATCAAAGCTGCTTGGGGTTTCCCCATCTCAGTCCTGGTACTGAAGCAGTCACAAAATGACTTGACTTTGCTGAGGTGCACAATCATTTCTGGGTTTGAACTGCTGGGAGAGGGGGTGGGAAATGGCTGGAAGCGCAGCCTGGCAGAGGGGTCTAGTGATTGCTGGATAGGGTTAGGGTGCAGAGAGGCTCCTGGGTTGCAATCTCTTCCCCCTGGGCCTGCTTGCTGACTCACTGTGACCAGGTGCATGTCACAGGCTTGTTTATGCCTCACTCAGTCCAGCCCTCTAAAAAAACAAGACCTTGCTTGGAAATCCAGGCTGGTGATTCTTGAGGAATGGGCTGGGGAGAATGAAAGGAGACTTAGCTTCCTAGTAGCACAACGCACCCAGCGTATTCAGAATGAAGGTGAAAAGCTAACTGTGATGCAGGCAGGGGGCTGACAGAAGGGGAAACAGGGCATGTGTCCTAAAACCTGCTTTTTCCTCCCTCTGGAGGAGACCCTGAGAGCCAGACTGGCACAGCCAGCGACTTGGGCAGTCCTCAGAGTGGCGGTCAGGTCAGGTGTCATTAGCGTGGGGTTGACCTCATACTGAGGGGGTCCCAGGTGACGAAAAGGAGCATGCGTTTGTCTGCTGCCTGGTGTGACCTTCAGAAGCAGCCGACTCAAGGTGCCTTTCCTTTTGAGCTGCTTGTTCCACTGCCCGTAGTGACACCTGCTGGCTGATTCTGCAGTCACACATCTCCTCTCCAGGTCTTCTCTTTGGTCTCACTGTAAGTCAGATGGCAACCACCAGCAGTGACAAGCTTCTCTGCAGGCTGCAGGTGGCTTCAGTCAGGGGGTCCTGGTTTCCTACCACGGCCCCCAAGACCATTAGTGCTAGGATTGACATGTCAAGGGTGTGCAGAAGGGGAATCTTTCTGCCGTTACATCTCCTTCCTGTTTGTCCCCAAGCTCAGTGGACTTCTCTGTTGTCCTGTTCTTCTCTGTGCTCCCTTGTAGGAGAAGATCTTTCTACCATGTTGTCCGCATGCTGGAAACCTAATAGTCTCCCACTGTCCTTCCCCTCCTGTCTCCTCCCAGTGTCCTGGTCTGTCTGGATTCCCTCCCTTGCTCCTCCCCACTCTGTTCCCTCTTTGAGAATCTTTCTTGTTCTGCACTGAGTCTTTCTTCCTAAACTATAGATTCCACTACACCAGGGGTAGGCAACCTCTGGCACTGGTGCCAGAGCACGACACACGAAGGCATTTTGCTTGACATGTGCACCTCGGGGTGGATGGTGGGGAAGGGGTAGGGGTTGTGCTGCCACAACAAGGATCAGGCCCCTTGTGGCTCCCCTGCCGTGTGCCCCTGGTACACCAACATCTTGCAGGTTGAGACTGTGGGTGTTTTTGGCACTCTGCCCAAAAACGTTGCCAACCCCTGCACTACACCTTCCTCTTCCTCAGCCTAGCGTGCAAGTCCCTATCGGGTGTATTGTAACCTTTGTTCCTTTACTGGCATTTGGACATACGTGTTTTAAGCGACCAATCGTATTTTTTTGCAAGCAGAGCTGTACCAACCTATCATGCATTGTACACAGGACTTCTGTTTCCTGCTGTCAACACGAGCTGGTGGACTGGGGATTAACCTGGCTTCTGCAGACACCGTGGTGATCTTTGACTCGGATTGGAACCCCCAGAATGACCTGCAGGCTCAGGCCCGGGCTCACAGAATCGGACAGAAGAAGCAGGTCAGATTAGCTGCCTGGTTCAGTCCTTTGAGAACTCAGTCTGTTGATATAGTGCAGCAGATGCTACAAAACATCAACATATCCCCTTTACATGGACTCCCAAGAATCTGAGCCGTCCCATCAGATCCAGGAATCTGTGGAAACTCAAACTGAGATGCAAAAAATCAAGCCTGATTTTGCTCAAAGCCAGGTCCAGACTTTCTGAGTGGGCTTGCAAGCTTCCTAGCAGATATTGCATTAATACTACAGCCCACAAGCAAACATGTCCTATCAATCTTGGTCTCATGCAGTTGTGGTATCCAGTGGTTGATTCAAGTAGGGAGTGGTCTAGACCAGGGATATCGAGCTCATCAGATCCTATGGGCTGGACAGGGCCCACAGACTGGCCTTGTGTGTCTGATCCAGTGTGTAGTGTTGGTCCATTCTGGCTGCCACATGCATTATCTACCCTGGACAGGCCCATGTGCTGCCAGCAGTGCACAGGGCTGGGGCTGGGGTGCACTAAATGCAGGACCAGTCTGAGACCAAGAGGCAACACTGCGGGCAGATGATAGGTTTACATCAGCTGCTTCTTCAGTGCCCCAGGTCGAGGCCTCCCAACTTCGATAAGCTGGTTGAACATCCCTGGATAGAAGCCTGTTAGAACAAATATGGGGCTAGAGACAGTGACCATGTATTCCACCTACTTTATTGTGGTTCACTTGTGCTGCCTTGTTAATACGTAAATGCTGTAGTTCACTCATTATAGACATGGTGCTGGATGAAATTCCTTGGCTTGTTCTATTCAGGCAGTCAAACTTATATGATCAAAAATTGGCCCCCCTCTGACCATAAAATCTGTGAGTAACATTTTTCCACAACATCACAGAAACTCCAGTGTGCAAAGTGTTCAGGAGATCTGCCAAGAACTGCCTTGGTCTATAGGCTTTGGTAGGGCAGAGAACACGTCGCAGCAGGGCTGCGTTTGCCTGTCCTGGTGGGGCAATGATGGGCATATGCGCAACATTTGAAAGCCATGAAAGAGAGAGCCACATTACTGGACTTGTAGCAGATTTAGCAAAAAAGTCCCTTTTGAGCTGAAGGCACAAGAGGTTCTTTACTAGTTTCCTTACTGTCCAAATCCCTGTAAAATAGTTTGCAGTGAAAAGGCTACGAGACCTTCAGCTCATTATTATAAGGGTCCCTCCAGGCTTAGGGGTGTGCGTATTATGTGACCTGGTCAGATGCACTATAAAGGACACTTACTTGCAAGAAGCAGATCTGCAGACACATTATTGCTGCCTTCTGGGAAGTGCCCTGAGACTCCTAGGAAGTAGCACAGGCTGCGAGGTAGTTTAGGCCAGACATATTACAGGTCCATAAAATATCCCTTCTCTTTCCTTACCCCTTAGGTGAACATTTACCGCTTGGTAACAAAGGGAACAGTAGAAGAGGAGATCATCGAGAGGGCCAAGAAAAAGATGGTGTTGGATCATTTGGTGATCCAGCGTATGGACACCACAGGTCGGACTGTACTGGATAACAATTCTGGGAGATCCAAGTAAGTGTCTGAGGAGGGTGAGGGAAACAGGAGCATCATGTGAAGTAATCAGCATGACTGTCACAGAGTCTCAGGGTAGTCCATGGATAGTTTTTTCTGCCAGAAAAGCACTAATGGTGGTAGTTCACCACTGACTCTGGCTCATGTAGTCATTGGTATGGAAGCCCCATGGCGTGTCAAAGCTAGCCAGGATATAAAGAGCATTTTGTCCTCTCTTGTTTCCTGTTCAGTCTCTCTCTACTTCCTTTTCCTTTTCCTATCTTTTCCTCTTTCTCCCCTGTATGGCTAGCACATTTTTTCCTGCAGGATCCCCCGAATCATTAATATGTGAAGAATGTTAATTCCACAGCTGAAGTCCACTAGGATCAGCTGAAGTCTTTTCCTGGCTCTTCACCAGAATGTCTATTTAAATATTGTAATCCTTAGTCACTTCCCCTTTGCAGCTAGAGCACTTGAGGGGGAAAGTGGCCACACACACCTTGCAGCTGTAGTCATCTCCTGTAGCTGTTCTTGCTCTCGGTGAAAGACCAAATAGTTGGACGGGTATAAGAGAATGGGTCGTTTTCTCCTGCAGACTTCAGGAGGAGGAGGCTGTGGGGAAGGCTGTGGGATTAGCTTGCTACTGGGTCTCCCCATCTTGCCCCTTCAGTTTATTTGTCAAGTGATTTAGCACATGAGAGTAATAAAAGCACTGAAATCCAGACCTGCATAATACCTCCCTTTTGGCAGCCTTCATGCCTTCCACAGCTTTCTCTGCTTGCTCTTCCTCATTTCATCCTCCTCAGCCCACCCCTGAAGCCATTGATAAAGATAACCTTCCAAACGCATAGGAACTCTTCCCTTTGGAGCCACTCAGTACTGCCACTTAATAAGCTGTGATTTAGAGTACAGACCTTCTAGGTGTCATATCAGCTGCCTTCTCAGCACTCCTGGCCCCTGCCAGGCCAGAAAGAGAGAGCCAGGGAACAGGAGGCAAGGGTTTCCTTAGTGCAGGGGAAAACACACTAAACACCTTTGCAAATGGCGAGAAACATAGCTTGTTTTTATGCTGTTGGAGGGTTGGCTTGGTGGCTTTTGAGAGATCCAACTTTAACCTTTGTTTCCTTCCTCTCTCCTCCCTGTAGTTCAAATCCTTTCAACAAAGAGGAGTTGACAGCTATTCTGAAGTTTGGAGCAGAAGACCTCTTCAAGGAGCTGGAAGGGGAAGAGTCAGAACCTCAGGTAGTTTCAAGTAACCTCTTTGGGCTCTGGAGGCTCTGTGTGAACAGAACTTCATCTGTACATTGGGATGGGGTAGAGGCTTGCCGGTTCACTGACCCTTTTGTTTTGTGGCTGGGGAGGATGGTTTAGGAAACCTAGCAGCTGAATTCAAGTTTCCAAAGCAGGAGAAGGAAGGGAACAATGGGCAAGCCAACTGTGAAGATCCCTGTAAAAATGGGAGTGTCACAGCTGAGGTTTCAATGATGGAAGTTTTTAAAGGGGAGCTGTTCCTTCTTCTCAATATACATCTGTGAGTGTGTTTGTCCAGGACAGAGCAGACCGAGTCTCCCAACTCTACAAACAATCTATGAAAAATATGAAACTCCAGTGGGCACTTTGCTTTGGTAGTTTTTACAGAAATAAAGGAGTTGGCAGAGCCAAAAAATTGTTGGGTCCCTTTCACTCTGTTTCCATGCATGGTTGTTCGACAGCAGTACTCTGAACAGCTCTGTTAATGGCCCGAATAGCATACCAGCATTTTGTTTGGGGGAGAAGATCCACAATAAATAGGACTCAGACTGAAATGTTTTGCTGTTCAACTGAAATATTCCCTTTATTCATCTAAACCAGGGGCTGGCAAAATATGGCCTGCTAAGGGACTTTGGCCTGCAGCAGGTCCATCAGACCTGCCCAGCCCAGGTGTGTGTGGGGGTGCAGTCTGGGCCATGGTGTTGCGGTCAGTCTTGCTGCCCCCGGGTGGGCAATGGGGCTCGCGTGGTGCCTGGACTCTGTTTCTTGGCAGCTGCAATGGTGGCGGCTCCTGGCAGCCAGAGCTGCCTGACCTGGCCTCGTTACCTGGGCACCTCAGTCCATCCACCCCGCACTCACTGTCGGGGCAGGACTTGTGCAGGCAAGGGGCTTGGCTGGGCAGTTGGAGTGGGGCCATGGATGGGTGGGGAGCAAAGTTCCCTCTAAGGTGCGCGTGTGCACGGCCGCACACAACTGAAAGTGTGGCCGCGCAGAGCCATTTCAAGGCTGCCCACCAGGAGAGGCTGGGGTGGGAGCCTGGCGTGGGCTCCACCAGCTCTGGCGAAGTACTCCGCTTCCCTGCATCAGGGCCGGGGAGTGGAGCACTTCCCCGGAGCCGGCGGAGCCCGTGCCAGCCCCCATGCCAGCCTACATCCCTGCCTTGTCTCACCTCCAGGGAGGAGCTGTTGCCTGCCCCAGTGAGGCTCCGCCGGCTCCGGGACACTGCGGGACATGCCCCTGGAGGCAGAGCAGTGTCCTGGAGCCAGCAGACCCTCACTGGGGCAGGCAGCAGCTCCTCCCCGAGGTGAAGCTAGGCAGGGATGTAGGCTGGTGCGGGGGGCTGGCGCAGGCTCCACTGGCTCTGGGAAGGTGCTCCACTCCCTGGCGCTGATGCGGGGGAATGGAGCACTTCCCCGGAGCCAGCGGAGCCTGCACCAGCTCCAGCCCCTGGCCCTTGGGTCCGGC